AGTTCATTTGGATGCTGAGATTAGGAAGAAAGACTGGAGTGCCCAATTAACTAACTATAGGCTGCCTCCCCGCTATCACAATGTAAGACAACCCAAGATGGGCCTTATCCGTCCTTAAGTAGGTCAATTTTAAGGATACTCTAAAAGCAATACAATAATGCGAAAAATTATTAGGTTGTATTAGTTCTTTAAAATTTACTAAACCTTTATGGAAAAAAGCAGTTTTGCTTCCCTTCAGATGGATTCTTTACATTTAATGTCCATAATGTTTATTCCTTCCAGCCTTTAAGTTTTTCACACTGACTGGCAGTATGTTGGGCTGAATTTATTTCTGAACCAGAGCAGCTACCGGTTCCTATCACTCTTCGATAGCTCAGGCACAACCTCGGCAAGAGATTGTGCACTGGCATTTTAGGCAGAGACAGCAAACTCTGGTATCTTGCTATTAATCCTGCCGATTACACAGCGGGATTACCTGGGAGTAACAATGATCACAATCAGGTTCACGGTCATTAAACCACCCATTTACTCAATCAGCTCGAGTATACAATATTATTAGCAGGCTGACTTGTCATCAAGACCATAACAGTTTCCAGTTGACTTTGGCTTGTGTTTCCACAACTGAGAATTAAAAAACCACTCCCATGGAAGATGCAGAAAGCATGTGCATACTCTGTGATCAGTGGGACAAAATACAGGATCACAAACAACTTTTTACAGGTGGTGTGGAAAATGATATTGCCGCTCGATATCCCTTGGGAGGATATCTGCGTGGCATCCTTCAGGAAGGGCTGTCTGTATCATCAGCTCCGGGGAATGTCACCGCAAAGCCCCAAGTACAGAGCGATTCAGCTTAACGTGTACCTGCAAATCTGTGTCCCGATACTGGCAGTGTGGCCCGATCGCTCAAGGAAGGAGGACACAACCCAGCACATCCTCCGATGCACGGTTCCGGCAACACATGCCAACTGCCAAGGGCCCTGAAGGAATTTTTTAATCATACAGTAACATACCTTATCCTGGACCAATACATTAATAATATATGTGTGACTCTTAAACTGGGTTTTGATGGGTTGAATGTGTGCACTTACACCAAGAGAGCAGAGCGAGCCTGTCGTTCCACCTCCTGTCTGGGCCGGGATTAAGGACACACTCCCATTTCCAGATCCCGCCAGGCTGGCTATTTAAAAATCAGCATTTTCCATTCTTTCAACTAACCCCACTTATGTTGCCTGAAGGTGACAAAGCAGCGTTTGCAGTCACTCTGCCAGCAGAGCCTTGGGAACAGGAACTCCCAGCCACAGGTCACTAACGCAGTCACGTCGCGAAACAACAGCAGCTATTTGTGAAATGGATGCGTGCCAGGAGCCGGAGAGACGCTAACACAGCATGGACGACGACGGTAATGCTGCCGGGGCAATCGAGGGGGAGCATCTCCCCCAGACCATAGGGAAGAGCCTGTGTGTGAAGAGGCGACGTGAACACGCATACTTGTGTACTCCAGAAGCCCCTGGAGCAGGAAACCTGTGTCGAGCTCCAGGCAACAAGTCCAGGCTGAGAAACGAAGAACAAATTCAGTTCCAGAGTCCCCTCCGCAGACGCAACGCGGAGCCCCCCCACGGGCTGTGGCTCGGGCGGCTCTAGAGGCACTCGCAGGCAGAAGGAGGTGGGGTCCCAGGGGTGCGCACAGCAGAGTCCTCGCACAGGGCAGGACGAGTTGGCTGGTTGCCTTTTGCGGTCAGATGTTTTGCTAGAGCTATAAGGATTTTTCAGGTTTTGTTTTTTTTTTAATGCAGGAAGGGATTATCTGCTAAGTCATCCGTTTCCCATCCCAGGTCTGGAGGTCAGCTGCAAAGGGAAGTTGGCAGCTGCAGCATGAGAAGAGGTGCAAAAAGCTCAATTTTTTACCTATTTCTATGTCCCTCAGGTAACTGAATTTTCTTCTTCCCTTTACTTCCCAGCCAAATGAGAAAAAGAGAAAAGCCTCTCTGGAAAACCCTGTATAAGAAAGACAAGTGCCACATCCAAAACCACGACACACACCCACACACCCCCTCCCAAGCCTCTACAGCTGAGTGAATGTTCTCTGCAGGCACCAAGCTGTCGGGGACTGCTCCCAGCACGTGAGCCAGGCTGAGGAGCAGCAGATGGGACAGCCGATGCACTTGCTGCCCACCCTTCTCCTCTCCTGGAGGTGACAGTCCCAGCCCAGGCCGTATTGCCACCAGCAGAGCTCTCTGCTGACATTCATCAGGCCAGGTAAGGGGTTTGAGGTCACATCCAATACTGCCTCGTAGCAAGAGCAGCAGAAACTCCCACGCATGGCTGGGGTGAACAGCCAGGGTTGGCACCCAATTTAGCTATCCCAGTTTAATGTGCTTCTCTCCAGGGTTAACCAGGTGTCCCCATTTCTCCTGCCCTTGCTAAAAGCAAATCCAGACCACACGGGGCTGCAGCAGCAGTTCCCCGTGGTGGGGCTGAGCGTAACGGTGCGACAGGGTTGCTGATCATCTAACAGAGCAGGCGGGGATGGGACCTCAACCGCACTGTAAACTGCTTGCTCGAATTACCCTTATTAGAGGTGAGCTCCACCAAGCCAAGTCAGACGGCCATTACTGACTGCGCGTGAAGAAACTGGTTTCAGGGCTTCAGACAGACACACCCCAAGAGCAGGTAGTTGAAGGCTGGAAGAAGCAGGTAGAAGTGGAACGACAAATTGTCCTGTGTACTCAGCAGCCACAGCTCCCCCAGGCAGAACGCCCTGCGGGCGAGCCGTGCCCCGCAGGCACTGCCCGGGACTGTCCTCAACATCCCCCGGAGAAGATGCTGCAGAGGCGCTCGGGGTGCGAGGAACCGGCGCTCAGCCTCTGTGGAGGGGACGTCCTGGCTGTGACCGGGCTGCGCGCTGGTGGCGAGCGCACACCCAGAGGTCATCCTTTACAGGCTGGTCCAGCTGAGGAAGTTACAGGCTCTATTTTTAACTCTAAAGCTTAAATAATTACCTTTTTTTTTTTTTGCATCCTATCCTCTGCTGATCCCTTCCTTTCCCAGCAGCCACTTGAAAAATTCAACCAGTTAAAAAGGGGAAGAAATTTGTTTTCCTCTTTCAGAAATGGTTAACTTCAATGATGCAATTTGCACAAAGGACTTCAAACATCAAAACTCTATTGTCTTTCCAGTCACAGCTTTTAGAGTATTTCATCTCTTTAGTCAAATGAACACTACAAAGGAAATAATATGCTCATGTCATAAACATCACAAACTATGAGGAATATAGATCTTTGGAAAAGAGAGAAATGCATTCATTGTTTGTCATTATACTATACTATAGTCAACTGCACCAGTAAAACAGTCCGTAATGTTCATTCAAACATACATCTTCCTATAGAAGTTATGCGACTGTACAATCTACCTTTCTACTTTGCACCCCTAGTTCTACACGTGGTCAATGAGGATCGATATACAATAGTTCTACAGAGAAATCACTGAAGTGGATACATAAACGGGCCCTTTCGGAGTTAAGTAAGATTCTCAATAGTTCCACAATGCTACATTCATGCTACCAAGTTCACTGAATTGGGATTTTACTTTAGAAAAGAGAAAGGAAGAACAGTTTGTCTGTCTCCAGTTAGGAGCATAACCATAGGAGGTAAAAGGGTCAGAAAGGGGGAGAGTTTTGTGTCAGCATTTTAATCCTGCCACTACCATTTCCTTCTCCAAATAACACATGACTTCGTGCTCTCATCACAGCTACAGCTCCCACCTCTCACAAGCACAGCTGGCGGAAGCTACCATGCTAAATAAGAGATAATTGGCATAAATTTTGTTTTCTTTTTTATATCTAGCGTTTTCTTTTTTATATCTAGCATTTTCTTCCAAAAGCTACAGACTGGTGCCTATTATCCCCTTCACTACAAGTCTGGAAAACATGACCAAGTCAAGAGGATAAGAGTCCAGCCAGGGATGAGACATAGCTACCAAACCTCCCGAGGTCAGGCCAGCTCAGCAGGGCGGCTTCCCAACAGCTCCGAACCAGAGGGGGAGGCAACAGCCCACACCTATTTGGTTCAATATGTTGCTTTCAATGACTTTCAACCATCTCCCTCCACCTATTTCTCTCCTTACTTACTATATGTACATTATTTCTGCAAAAATTTTGCTATAAAACTGCCATAAATGTACAGGGTTCAGCAGTTCTAGCCAGAGGCCTGCTCCCCAAAATTACAACCACAGATATGTCACGGGGGAAGGAGTACTCTACAGATCAGAACAACTAGCTCTTTTTGTAAATATTTAAAAAAGAAGATTTGTACATATATTTTCCTTCACTTCACAATCAACTAATTTTAGATACCAGGAAACCAAGGTAATCCTTCCCTGTTACCTCCAGTACATTTTACTTATAAAACAAATAACTTGTGTCACCTCCCAGAATTGCCAGTGACCTATGCAGACTGTAAGTAGTATTTATCCTCTGAACAGGAGAGTAGAAGATGAAAAAAACCCTTCCCAAAACAAAAAGCAACCCCCCGACCCAAACAAACAAAAAGTAAATATATTCCAAAATATATCCTCAAATATCAAGTACAAATCTGGGTGCTCAAACCACGGCTGCTCTGACAGAGCTCTGGGTTTACTCTGTCCCGCACCGGAAGGGACGTGAGCAGCTCAGACCGATAAACAGGTCTTTTTAGCATTGGAAAAGAGGTGGTTTATGCACAAACAACTGGCAATCAAGTGAACATAGGGAAGATTCAAACTCATGCTACAAACCCGTGCTGTATTCCTCCAGAAGCATTTCTTCCAAATGCCTCAGCGAGCAGTCTCCTTGGAGGGGTTCTGATGGCCGTGTAACCGCGCTGCTCCACACAGCAGACTAGAAAGAGAGCTCGTCTCTCAACACATAGCAAAACACTGGCATGAACAAGTAATTACCATGGCTATTAATTTCTAATTCATTTTTATACCATAGTGAACCTGACGGAGGTTTCTCAGCCAGGTACCATATTTCTAACCTAAAGTATTTCAGCAAAACTAAAGTCCCATAGTTTTGCAAGCAGCAAAAGAGAAAGTAACAAAGTTGTGTCTAATTGGAGGAGAAATATACATTCGTGAGAGCACATACAATTAGTGCAACACAGCTACTCTGAAAGTAACAAACCAAACCAGATTAATCAATGCAGCAGACATGCAGGGTCTGCTAAGTTATGTTAAAACCATGTTTGCTGGTGATTAAATATGTCTACAGAAGATATATTACCATTTTGAATATATTTTCAAGCAGACCAAAAATACCTCATCTATTGGTTACTGGTGTGTTATTTTTAACTAATTAAATATTGGGAGGGATTGTACCCCTCTCGCTATAAAAATTGCACTTATTTTCTATTAAACAAAACAAAAAGTTAGATTTCAATTCTATATTCCAGTATATATTCACATTGAAACTGGATCGTCTTGATCTAAGCTTGCAGGAGTAGGTGTAGCCGTCCTTGCTCTCCAAGATCCCCAGCACAGAAGGTCCCGTCAGTACAAACCCCTCCTTCCTCTGTGCTCTGGTCACTTCTTCATTGTAGTGCATGGGTAATTGATTTTATTTTTTGTAAGAAAACCTGAGCTTCAAAAGTCTTTAAAAGGACCTGGAATCAAATCTGGCCCATTCTGACCCAAAACAGCTCAGTTCTGCAAGGAACTCCATCCTGTCCTCGTTTCACACAGCTCCTCCTGAGACACCACGGCTCTGACCTGAGGCGAGTGAGGTGTCAAACCCTTTCCCTCCAGTCTCTCTTGACCCAGGAGACTTTGCTCCCGACACACTTCCGAGGGCTCCTTCTTCCCTCCCTTTAGCACTGCTGCCTCCTATAGGGCTTTGAAGGGCTCCCTGTGCCAATAAAAAAGTCTCTCTGCAATAAGCATGACTTCTTGGACACCGGTGATCAACTTCCTCTTGCAAACTCTTCTCCAGCTCATAAAATGTCATCGTAATCCAATAGTTTAGAGTGCTGGCGGGTCTTCCAGAGGCGGTAAAGGCGGAAGTCAAAGTAAGTCTCAATCATTTGCTTACCTAGGAGAAGCGAAACGAAGCAGAGGGGTTACACCCTGCAGCACAAGGGAGAGACGCGAGAGGCCGCAGCAGCAAAAAGACCCCAACCCACCTACAGGCAGGGGCACAGGAGAACCCGTCCATATGCCTCATTTGGAAAATACCGACATTCAGCCAGGGCACGTGAAGGTGCCCGTGAAAAGCAAACGTCTTTTTAGACCTCCTCAAACCATGAAAGGCTCCTTAATAATCCCCTGGCAGGGTTTGTCCATGGGGGCAGGAACTGAACACAAAGTCGGTCTCCAGACTTTGACCTCTCTGCACTGACTGCAGAAGTGGGGGCCGGGGGCTGTAGAGTATCAGCCAACAGCTCCAGCAGCCTGCACGAGGCAACCTGGCACAGGGACTTCAGAAAATTACAAATCAAGAGTAAACTCATTGTAAAGATTTGTGGGAAACATTACAAATAGTTAACACTGAAAATTCAAAATAGATTATTATTTTTTTGGAAAATTAACGTTAACAGGCTGTCTCTGTCCTGCAGAGCCGCATCTTCTCACAGCAATGAGCTCAACAGGACACACTAATGCAAGTTCTGCCCCACTGGCACCTCTGATTGAAGGTGGGGGGGTCTCACAAGGCAGTCACAGACTGAAAGCCGTGCACAGGGCTGGCACTGGAGGCAGCCAGTGCATTTGAAAACACAAAAGCAAACTGGACTCTCAGACAGGGCTCAAGGAGGGGATTTTTGCTTTTGAGGCCTGATTAAGATTAGTTTCAGATGACTTTGCAAAGGCTTAGAGAGGGTACGCTATTAGCACGTCCCAGATTGACCACGGGGATAAATTCAGACGTATTCTTCAGCCCAGCCTCCTGAAAGATCAACTGCTTAAATGCATGTGCACAGAACCCGCTGCCTTGCCTGCCAAGCTGCATATAAACCCAGGAATTTCCCTGCAAGTTGCTTCTTGGCACACAGGTATGAGCATGTTCGCTGTGGGATCTGTGCAAGCACTGTATAAAGCTGGGTCCAAACCTCGACAGGACGTGCACAGAGAACTCTGTGCAGCATGAATGTGCTCAGCTCCCGTACATTCCTATGACAATAAGTGAGAGTTAAGAACAACCCGTCAGTGCTGATGCCAGCTGTGAGCAGCAGAGGAACTATCCACAGCGCTTATAGCCTAATGCTGCATGTTTTTAGCTTCCAAGAGAACCAAGTACCAAGGACTACAGCAAAGATGAAACAAGGGCAACTTCAGAGTAAGTCGACTATATGTCGCTTATGAAACTGCACCCATAATTACTTAGATTGACCAAAAAACAGGAAAAATTCTATAGCCCTTTGTAATATCTTGAGCTACAGGCAGGAAAAAGCAAAGTGGACTGAGATATAGAATGGCTATAATGGGCTACATCCCAGGTGCTTGTTGATGACACAACTCACTCGGTACCAGTAAGAGATCCCTCCACACTTGGTTACGGAAAAGATTCTGCTCCCGTGTGCATCTCTCCCATGGACTTCATATGCTCTAGTAATATGACGAATCTCCTAAACTCAGCCTGGAAAGGAGCTTATTATTCAGGCTACTTTGCCGCTGCCAGTAGCCTGGGAGAGGGCTCTGCAGCTTCAGGCACAACAAACAGAATAGCTGAAAGGTGAACATGGAGCAACTGCAAGGGAAAACCCAGGTTCAGCAAGCGAACTACACAAGGTGGTTACAAGCAAAAGGATGACCACGGCAGGGCTTAAGGGAGCTCAAAATTGCTTTTTCATGAAGATGCCCACTGAAGGAGGCAGGCTGATCAAGACGGCGTGCGTCTTTGCACAGAAAATAAATTACCTTGAGCTGATAGTTCAAGTGGAGACTCAAAGGCAACCCTATAAGGATTCATTAAGTTTTTCAGATTCTGAAATAGCTGAAAGGAAAACATATCGAGAGTTAGCAGCTGAAAACAAAGATAAACTCCAGGGCACCCAGAATTGCCCATCCTTGTTCCCTACCTCTAAAAAACCCTCCACTACATGTCCTTTAAAACATCTAGCTCATCAGTAAATAAAGTGCTTTGAATGACTGTTCCCCCTAAAGGCTCCAGTATCTATCCCTTCCTGCACGTCACTTATCATTCCTCCCCTGCCCTCTGGGGAAAGCACAATCCATAGGGTGGTTCGACAATTCACAGCCACTCATGGGACAGGATGGCAGCATGTTTCCACACAGCAGAAGAGGAAGGTTTGAGTCACAGTGTGACTCTTGACTCCCTGGGCTTGGTGCTACACAGCAGACATTCCCAGAGAGGCGACCCAGGAAGCTCTTACCTTCTCCCCATTGGGGTTTCCAAGAACATAGCAGCCCATGATGTGAATGATATTTGGTTCAGGATTGACTTTACTCATCAGCCGGCTCAACCTCTTCCAGAAGCTGGAAGAAACAGGAAAAAAACAGAATACATAATTAAAAAAACTCAATCAAACAAAAAACTGTCTCCTCATATGCCTGCACAAGGATGTGTGTGCACACACTGCTCAGAAGGGGCCTGAGGCTTGTAGCATGAGGAGCAAGCTGCTCTGGAAGAGCCATCGGTTCTTAGACAAGGAAGAGCAGGGGCAGAGCAAGGGCCTGAGGAGCAGGTCCAGGTCCCGTGGTAGAGAAGGAGGAGCAGCCCATTGAGCCAAGGAAGCTCCAAGGTAAAGAGAAGGGAGCAAAGTCCACCAGGAGTGCTTTTAGACTGACAGTTTTACTAAGCATCCTCTTTTTATAGCAGTTCCCTCCAGTTTCCTCTCTCCCATTTCTATCAACGATTGCCCTTTCTAAATATGAGTGTTATCAGGGCACTGGTTCATATCCAGGGCATGAAATCAGCAGAGAACAGCTGGAGAGGTTGTTCTACACAGCTACAGAGACAACACCAAACCAGGCTGTTCCATGTTAGCCAGTGCTCGGTGCTGCTCACCAGTCAGACCCGCTTTACATTTTGTGACTACTGACCAGGCACACTGTGCCTAAGGGACATGAAATACAACAATATCCCCTGTGCAGTGGGTTAGAGCAGACTTCTGGAGGGCTCTAAAGCCCAGCAGTTCCTCTGTGGGGTCTGCGATCAGACTGCAGTGCAAGCTTTTCTCAGAACTCCCTCCCAGGGATGGTTGGATGGAGACATTCACTTCCAAGCATCCCAGTTTTCAGCTGTGTGTTCACAGCTTTCTGAAGGTTTCTGAATTACCAACTTCGGACCAGCTATGCCTGGAAGGCGTTCAGAAGCATGTATGTGCACACATGCCTAAGAATTTTATTGACAGTGTTTATGCCAGAGCATGAGAGCGCTGAACAGATGTTGATTTTAATACTCGGTTCTCATGCCAACAAAAAGTTGTGTAGAAACAGGTTGGTATGCATCCTCTCCCCCACAACGAAGCACTGTTAGCCAAGTAGGTTTGAGCCAGCACAAGCGAGCAGGCAGCAAAACAGGCGAAGCTTAACTCTCTGCAAGGAGAAGCAAAATTGCCTCAGCAGCAACCCTGGCTGACAGGCTGGCATGTTAGTGAAAACCCTCCTCAGTAACATGCTGGACTTTGAGCAGGCTTTGCAGAGACAAATTCCATTTCCCCCTGCAATTAGGAGGGCAGTTACTGGAGACAGCTGTGGGGGGAATGGTTAGGATTTCTGCCACTAGTCGCCTGCTTAGCCACTTCTGAGCAACAGAGGCACGAGGTGCAGGTTCTGGTTTCTGGTCAGCAAAGCCTGTGTTAGGAGAGGAGATATTTTTTTTTTCCCTCTTTTGATAGTCTCTAGTCCAGAGAGACACTAAACAGCAGATAAAAGCATAAATCTCCTGGTGACCTGTCACAGGGCCACACCACCCCAGGGATGAGCTCGGCTCTGTCATCTTTGCAACCCCCCGTGAAGGAGCTGTAAGCTGCTATTAGGTCCTCCTTCAGCCTCCTCTTCCCCTGACCAAGCCACCCCAGCTCCCTCCACCTCTTCTTCTAGGCCATGTGCTATAAACATTGAGCAAACCGAGCAGAAAAATGCTACGCGAGTCCAGAACATAACGCAGCCACTCACAGGATCATATCTTCCTCCTTCTCCACTTTTGCAAAAGTGGCAACTTTGTTCTTTAACAAGTATAAGTGACCAGGACCTCCCTGCAAGAGAGAGACAGACAAATGCAAACCACTTTGCACAGGCCCTGAAGAAACAAACCCTGGATGTGTTTCTTGTCCTGCACAGCCATACCCAGCAGTGCCACGAGGGAGCAGAGCAGACACGCCAGCCTGGCACGGCTGTTACAACCTCCATAGCAGACACTACAGGCACTTGCCAAGGAAATATTCATGTACGGGGAGTATGTTGGGGGTTGGATTCTCCAGTTTTTACTGTTATATACCCACCTCACTCTAGAAAAGCACAATAATAGACAAAAATCTTCATTGTGGGTGGCTGGAGAGTAATAGGGAAGACAAGAAAGTCCCTTTCATTTGGGGATGCTAGGGAACTTGCCGTGGTAGGCAGACGAGAAGCTGAGCAAAGCAGGGATAAGCAGGCAAGACATCACTGTAGAAGAACTGGACTTTCGCAGTAGCAGGCATAAAAAGATTGAGCACAACATCAGGAAAATTAAGAGTTGCAATCTCCAGGTCAGTGTGCTGCAAACCCTGCTATTTTGCAGCATTAGGCGCGTGGGAGGGAGTTCAAGTTAGGTTACCTTCCTAACTTCTCATTTCAAGGTTCCTTGCACGGCTGCCGGGGGAGTCCAAAGCTGACCACCCTGAGGAACAAGAGACTTGGGAAGGAAATCCCCGGGAAGCCCCGGATCCAGCAGGGCCTGAATCTGTCCCACCCACAGCTCGGCAAGCCTGTACCCTGATCCCTCTCCTGTGTAAGCTGGCCTCCAGCTCCCAGCTGTGCCATCTGCCGGCCTGATCCACAACACCCACCACTGTCACTGTCATACTGAAGCTGTATGAAAACTATAACCATCACACTGCAAATGCTTGTTCCTTTCTCTGAAATCCTCCTTTTGAGGTCTGTGCTAATGCTGGTTTGCTTGGGTTTCCTTGAAAGCAGCTGAGAAGCAGCCCAGCTCTGGAGTTGGCCACACTAAATCAGAATTTACTTCCTGCTGTCACAGCAACTTGAGACTGCTCATTGTCTGGGGAAATGAGAAGTGAAAGCTGTACACATGCAGTTACTTTACCAGAACCTGACTTTGGAGTATTGGTTCCTCTATGTAATTTTCCCCTGTAGAAAAAGACAAATTTGTAACAAACCACCCAAGTGCTTAACAACTTTCATGTACCTGGCAAAATATCAGCATCTTCCAGATTTTGCAGCCTTTCCGATAAATGTTAAGCTTCTTCTCTATTTCCTCTGCAAAAAACACGTTGGAAAAGATGAACCATGGAGGAAGTTAAAAATTCATCTTATTCTCACTTTAGTCCTGAAGGCAGGAGGCTGAGCTGTGAGAGGTGCTCAGCACCTACATTCCCACTGATGTCAAAGCAAACCCTTTGCTTTCATGCTGTGGAAAGCGGGAAACCCCAGCATATCACAGGGCAGAGAAGGTACGGTGCAGCACCAGACACTGCTCTATAGTGACCACAGCACGGTACCAGACCCAGCTGTCCTGACCCTCTGTTAATGCTCCTACTCACCTACAAGGGTACGATGAACAGGTGTCTTTGCTGCCCTGTGCCTCAGCTTCCCTTTCATAAACCGGGAGCTTGGCATAGAAAATGGGCTACAGAAGTGAAGTTTTATTACTGCAGCACATTCAACAGCACCTGACTGACTGTCAGGTGTCACTGGGGTGATAAAAACACCTTTATGAGTGGCAGCTGAGGCACAGGGTAGTGGAGTGACTGTAACCTATTGATCAGTTACATTTGCAACGGGCAGGAGTTAAGAAAAGGAAATAACACTCACGTACCTAGGATGTCATCAAAGGTGGCATGTTCATGGTCCTGGAAACCAAGAGAGAAGACATATCAAGGTTCACTGTCACTACACCAGCTCCCATGACATTATTATAGTCTCGAATATTGCACACAATCCCATTCCCAGGCAAACATGCTCTAAGAGCACAATTATACCCGCTGATAGCTTCTAGTCACATCACAGTAATTACCACCCCAAAACATGTCTCAGCAAAGAAGCTGAAGACTGAATGGTCCATGAAGACCAAGTCCATCCAAAGGCTTGAAGATGAATCCTGCAGACAAGTCCAAAGCACATACCATCAGATGTAGTCAGCATCAGCAATGCGTATTTGCCTCTTGGCCCATGTTTTGTAGCCAGCCTCTGGCTTCACACGCGTCTAAGCTGGCTAACAAACAGCCACGCTCCCAACACATCTGCCTCTGGCATAGCAGGGTCATCAGGACAACCGTACAACTCTCAAAGGAAGAGAGAGGCAGCAAAGCTTAACCCCCCAGCAGCACTGCCTGCTGCACATGGAGACTGCATTTTCTGGGCTGTCAGTCCAACCCTTCCCTTTCAAATTAAGTGAATATAAAGTGATTAGGAAAAAGAGACCCACGACTCCTTGCTGGTGTTTCAGACACCTGCTCAGGCAGGACTCCTAGTGAAAAATCAAGGTTAAATTCATGACTGACAGGGATGCACCACTGTACATAGGGTGATGGGGTTCACGGTCCACTGCAGAGCTCTGAGGTCCTGCTCATTCTGTCTAAGGATGAGCGTAAGGAGGAGCCCTAAGCCTGGCAACACGCGGCTCTGCTTGTGTGCTCAGGCCTGCCCTGCCTTCCCTTGTTAACCTTCCCAGGCTGCCTGGCTGTGCCTGCATAGTCTGGCAGCCCACGTGCAATTTTCACTCCACCTTACTCTTCCACCTAGACCTGAGCCCCCACAAAGCTACCCAGACCCCAAATCTGGGTTCAGCACAGCCCCAGCCCTTTCCTGACAGCTTTTCCAAATCACATCAGTGTTTCAGAATCACCATAACAGGAACTGGGGACAAAAAAAAAAAAAAAAAAAAAAAAAAAAAATAATTCTCTGTATGAAGCCTGCTCCCACACATCCCACACATCCAGACACAGCAGAAGAGATATACTTACGTAGAGAATGGGGATGATAGAGGGATCGTCCCTGCGGATAATTGTCGGGACATACTCTGCTTTGGGCACCTTGGAAGAAATGAGCTGGAAGGGGGGGAAAAAAAAATGCAACAGGATGAGGAGAAGCCAGTAAAGTCTGGACAGAAGCACAGAGGCCATGATAACAGTGTCCTGTTCAGTTGCTCTCAGCTGTTACCCCAACTAGCAGCTAATCCAGCCTATCTGCATCCCTGTGGGAAAGTCCTCCAAGCCTTTGGTCCACCACAGAGCATCCCCAGGCCTGCCAAGTACCCCCATGTGTCACAGTCTCCCCGACCCCCAACAAACGAGCACACAGCTCTGCCCAAAAGGCAGGACTGACTCTGAGTTGACAGTTTGTAAAGGGGAGACCCGTGTGCACAGAGGATGAAGCAGCTTGTGCATCACCACCAACGGCTGTATCCCAGTAAAGATCGCTTCTGAACAGCCCTCCTCTGTGCGAGTCTGTGCTTCTGGCTGCAGAGGACTGTTCAAACTGGCACGCTCAGCTGGCCGGTGGTGGGACGGCTGCATGCCTTAAGAGGAACCAGCCAAGGGATAAAATGGCATCAGGCACAGGTAGGCACACAGCCGTAGGATGTCAGGCAGATGCAAGTTGCCTGGCAACTCTGGCTGAAGCTTCAGCCGGCTCCATCAGCGTGACAGCCCAAGAGGATGGGCCTGCCACCAGCACAAGGCAAAGGGCTATGGGAACAAGGGCAATTTGGCTATGCTGTGGTTTCAGGCACCTCTGCTCATCGCTGTAAGAGTGGAGCAGGCAGCGGTGCTGGTGGGCCTCTAAGTGCAGCCTGGATTCCAGCTTGGGCTGCCTTCAAAGCCCTCCCTCCTGGCAGGCAGCACATCACTGCTTCGGCCACATGGGAGTTAATGTAAAGTTTCTGAAGAGGCACAATGTACAGAGTCCAGGGATGGACACTCCTCACCTGAGGAGACACACTGGAGGTGACAAGGGCTGAGCAAACCCAAGTGTTGGTTCCTAGTGTTTGGGTCTCACCTTGGCACTTTGCCCCGAGAGTGCTTCGGGGCTGAGACTGCACAGACAGCCTGGGAACACATACAAAAGCAGACTGTCTCCATGTCCTTCACTCTTCCCAAGTCTTAGCAGGACCCATTCAAACACAGTACTGCTGTGCTGGACTGGCAGTGCTGCCCTGAGAACAAGCTGGAAGCTTGAGACCCCTTTTTGCCCAAGTACTTGTGCATGCAGCCAAAGAAGGGATGTGTCAGAACCTGGTCCTGTCTGCCAAACCCCAAAGAGCAGAGCAGGGGGGAGCACAGGGGGAAGCCTAGCATCAAGGAATGATAAAAGAGCAGAAAGCATCTCAAGGGATGACATATGGCTCCTGTCCTGGTTTCAGCTGGGATAGAGTTAATTTTCTTCCTAGTAGCTGGCACAGTGCTGTGTTTTGGATTTAGCATGAGAATAATGTTGATAACACACCGATGTTTTAGTTGTTGCTGAGCAGTGCTTACACTAGTCAAGGACTTTTCAGCTTCCCATGCGGCCAGGACAGCTGACCCAAACTGGCCAAAGGGACATTCCATACCATATGACGTCATGCTCAGTACATAAACTGGGGGAAGCTGGCCAGGGGGGGCCGCTGCTCAGGGACTGGCTGGGCATCGGTTGGCGGGTGGTGAGCAATTGCATCGTGCATCACTTGCTTTGTATATTATTATTATTAGGATTTTATTCCATTTCAATTATTAAACCTTTTATCTCAACCCACGAGTTTTCTCGCTTTTACTCTTCCAATTCTCTCCCCCATCCCACCGGGGGGCGGGGGGTGGGGGGGTGAGCGAGCGGCTGCGTGGTGCTCAGTTGCTGACTGAGGTTAAACCATGACAGCTCCAAAGTAAATCAGGCAAGTAACAACAGGAGGGAGTGACTGCTGGGACTGGGGACTCAGGTCTCTATTGTCAGGGTTATCGAGACTCAGGCTAACTCGATTCAGTGTTGGTGACAGTCCTGCTCTGATTTGGGGTTGGACTACAGGTCCTTCCACTTCTAGTTTTCTTTCAACACATTATCCCCAGCAATAACAGATGCTGAATACCATGTCATGTCTTGGCTGACCTCTGAGTGACCTTCATACACACCTGAAGAGTTGCCTATACAAAAGACTTGCCTCTTCTCATGAAGATCCTAAACTTAGCTGCTCTGAAAGGACAGACAGAGCCTGAGTAGATACAGGTAGCTGAGTTGGAAACCCTCACCATTATTTTTGGTGGAATAAAGTCTTCTCCATCACATGCCATGGCTTCAAGTTCCTTTTCTGCTTCCCAGTTCAAGTCAAAGTCACCATCCAAAGTGCCGCAGGAATCCTGAAGGTCATGGCCTGCCAGAACACAGTGTACATTACAACGGCAGAACAGCTTGCTTTCCCCACTCGATCCTGTCTGGCAGCTACCTCGCAAGAGGTACCACAAGCCATGAGACTTGTGCCCTCCTTTCTTCCACAGAGCGACAGACACCACACTTTGGGGCTGGTGTCTCTAAACAGACAAACACTTAACGAATGAAGAATGCACACACAGAGCCCAATACCACATATCACATAACTTTTCGTCACTCTCACAGTCACCAAGTTTAGCTTTCAAATGCTAGTTCACAACAGTCACCCTGTCATTTCAGAAATGGAGAAGGAGACAGAACGCAGACAGACTCTCTACACTTTAACACTGCCAAGCTGATGAGCAGAAGTCCAAAGACTTCAAAGCTGGTCTCCTTGTAATAATTACTGCGCTGACTATGTCTTCTGAGTGACTATAAAGAAACTCTGCCTTGTTGTTCAAACAGATCCTGGCAGAGAAGTCCCAGAGCGTGAGGACAGCCGTAGCAAACACAGTAGTATTGCAACAGTATACTTGAATTTGCTCTCCAAATTGACCTTACCTGTTGGCCTTCAATGCCTCCTGGGGAAAAAAACATCTGGAAGGAATATAATTGACCATTAAAGGTTAAATATAGAGATGATTCCCTGAAGCCAGGGACTGAGGAAAGAGAACCGAGATGCCTCTATTTGTGCCTTTTGGGATGTCCGAGTGTCACTGGGCAGTGCCTGGAGCCTGTCTGAATCATGTCTTTTCCATTTGCCTCTGAGTTAGCTGAGGGAGCGGGGAGGAATCACACTGCAAAGGAACAATCGGGTCATGTTTTGAACGTGGCCTTTCACACATCTCCCCCTACAACCTGGTACGGTGTCTTCTACAGCTAGGAGGGCTGGATCTCATGCTTACCTGGCAGGTCAGTTCATTTCATTAGCGAAATTCATTCACAATACAACCCATTTCAACATGGGCAAACTCATATCCACCAAGTCCCTTGCCTACAGGATTTCAATAAAATCTGGGTAAAACAGCCACTCCCTTTATAAAAAGACAGTGGGAAGATGCTGGCATTTCCTCCTGTAAATTAACACAACAGCATCTCAGTCCCCACAAGCAGAACATCGCAGCATTAATGGGGAATCCCAGAGGAATTCCTGGCAGCCCAAACGAAGATCAGATTGCCCCAAGCTATCATCTGTGCAGCCAGCACGGCCAGGAAATCAAAGCTACATCTCATGGAGCGCTGCAGTTGTGCTCTGGAGCTATTCTAGCCTAGGAAAGAGCTCAGAAGGGGCTCTTGCACAGGAAGCCAGGCAGGTTAGCCCCACTATGGTGAACGTAGCCTTGGACTGGTGTGCTTCCAGGTAGGTTGTTTTGGTCCCAAGCGAATAAGGGAGGATGGGAACAGAGGGCTGTAAGAGAGCTGTACCACTGGGTATCCTTTGGCAACTGCACAATAACATGAGGTTAGATGAGTTGTGCTCTACAAATAAATATAGGTACACACAGATGAACAGGTGCTTATACCTGGAGTGTTACTTGCTCAGATCTTATGAAACTAAAAGGATCACAGATGGGACAAAAGGGCACAGAGGAGTTACTCCAGTGGGACTCCAGTCAACACCTCAGCTGGAGGGTTTGGCCACAGGAGGAAGCTCAATGGACTCAGAACTCACTTTCTCGAGAGTCATGGAAGGAATCAGCTTTGATGGGAGTCGGGTCACTCCAGGACCTGCTGAAGCTCCTCTCACGCCGTTCGGCAAATGCTAGGATAAAACCAAAGCATGACATTAACAGACTCCAAAGCCACCTCTGTTGCTGCCAGCAAAACAAAACATCCAGTAGATTTCCACCAAAGCTACACAACGCAGACTCCCCTATGCTTGTTCTTCCACTTGCCAAATGTGAGTCCTTTCCGCACAGCAAACAACAGTCTATCATCTTCTGGCAGAAGAAAAAGTGCCCACTTTCTGAGCAGGACCATTACGGGGTATGTAACACAGAAAAAGGAGGACACTTGATGGTCTCTCCTTAAATGCACACTGCTCAAACCTCAATTTAATCAAAGCTATTCCAGTGTCCCATTGTAAATGCTCTGACTCAAAGGCCTCACACGAAGATGTACTCAACAGCTAATGACACATACATGACCAGAAGAAGGCAGTAGTTCTGCAGTCAGTTCTCCCTTCACATCTGTTTTTGGGCAGGCACTCTCTTCATGTTCTAGTGACATCCCAATCACAGCTGGACCAAACAGAGAGGGGGCCCCTGGAAAGCTCACGCTTTCTGAATTTTGTTCCAAAAGAAGAAATCCTTCAGTTTTTGCTTGCCTGCACTCTGCTGAGCGCACCCCCCTGCTTTTTTTTGCCTTTTTTTTTTTTCCTCCTTCCAAGGGGCATTATATTGTTTGTACTGGCATTTCCCAAGTGGAATCCAGGGAGCTTGGTCCAGCTGGCTGCACCACAGGCAAATTCCTGGGAACTGCCAACCACAATGTCTGACTTGGCAAGTGCATGTGAGAGCCATTACACCCAGATTAACAGCCACTTATAGCCACTACTATCTATTTCTGGTAGCAGATGGAACAAGTTTGCTGCAGCGTATCTAGTAACAGCATCTCATGTCAGCGGTACAGGAATTCACTGCAGATTTGCATCACAAGAGCTGAGAAGCAACCTGTCCTCTGCTGCAGTGTGTCCAAGTGTGGGTGTCCAGGGAGACAAATCACATAGGAAGTTCTTCAGGTGATCTCCATCCTCAGCTTTCATTTAAAACCAGGCATTTAGCTATTGTGCACACGAAGAAAGCTTTAAAAACATGACCCGAGAGTTACCAAGGCAGAGAGGCATGCCTGAACTTCCAGATAGCTCTAGTGGGAGGTGAGTCCTGTTCATTTCAGGCAGTGCTAACTCAGATGCCAATAAAGACACTTTAAAGGGCAATGCTGTTTGCTGTTCACTTCCCAGAGCATATGAGAAAGGAGAGGAAAGAATGCATGTTCAACTCAGCAACGCTTTGCTGTGGGCAGCCTGTACATGATGCCTGGCCAGGGAGTGGGAAGAACAAGGTGTTTCCTCTTCTGGAGCAATCCTTAGCTCTCGAGAGCTGGTTACACCATTCTCAGCCCATTTCACAGCGATAAGGGAGCTGTCCCAACCAAGTTATGGAGGAGTGTTGCCTTCCTCAGGGAAAGGGAACTGCCGTTTCCCAGGCCTAAGAGGTGATTTCTTCCCCAGTGAGGCATAACACTCCCTTATTTCCCCCTTGCTCCAATCTCTTCCCTGCTCCTCTTCTTCCTCCCTTCCACTGTCCTCTCAGCTCCCACCGGACAACTTTCCACCAGGTCCTGCTGCGGAGATGGCAGTGGGACAGGGGAGGAGACAAGAGAAAGCCGCCAGTCCGTGTGGCACATGAAGCACCGACTGTCCCCAGGGAGCCACAGCTGGTCCGCAGCTTCAGTAAGAGGCCAGGCAGCCCTAGCCAGCTCTGCTGAACTCTCAGCTCTGGTTCTCCTCACAAGCGTCTATGCTGCTGATCACTGAAAACCACATGCACATGGGACAAGGACCCTGCAGCTCTCCTTCCACTCCTCACACTGAGGCCACAAAGATCTCCCACGGCCAAGGCAGAGGGTCCTCGGAAATAGCTTAAAGGCTGCTTGCAGACATCTGTGTGTCCTGGAGACTTGCAACAACCTGGCCTTCTTTTTTGTAGGGTAAAATGGCATCAGCAGGTCAAATCCGTTCTCCGGCCCAATGCTAGGTCCTTTCTACCCGCATCTGCACGCAACATAGGGTTCCCCATGTCCCACCGGCACAAACCCCAACTCCTCACAGTCACATCTTACAGGTGCTCACTTACTTTGTGCTTTAACCCTTCGGCTCCCCACCATGCGGAGGTGCTTCCGAAAATTCCTGAAAGAAAGGCCAAACAAAACCTCTGAGAAAGGTAATATGAAGCAATACCTGGGCCCAGCAGGACTGAAAAAAATGGGAGGAAAAAAAAAAAAATTGGGAAGACAGTGCATTTTCTTCTGGGCATTCCAAAGCTCGAGAGCAGGTTCCCAGCCTGCACCTATTCAGTGCTGCAAATAGTTACGTTTGTCAAGAGTGTGGCTGTTTCTTCTGAACTCCCTGGGCTGGTGGTACAGGGCAAGTGAGGTCCTACATGGCAGTCCCCTTCTCACGGCCTGCTTTCACTTTCCTACGACTAAGGCACCTGTGCTGTAACTTTGCTGAAGACACTGCCACTGCCCATGCTGGCAATGCTCCCTCTTCTCCTGGTAAGCAGCAGTAACTGCTCCCCTCTCTCCTTTCTTCCACACGTGCTTCAGCAGGGAAGTGGGGTACCCAGGCTCTGCCATACTAGGCAGCATGCACACACCATGCCTATGGCTGTGCTCATTCCCAAACACATTCACAGCAGCTGTTAAAATTCCACCTGTGCTGTTAGCAACCATGCAGCCCGTACTGCTCTCCAGGGCAAAGAGCTGGGAAAGACTGAAGCAGCTTCCTCCTTCTCAGATAACGCTGTTCGGTAAGGCTGACTGTCCTCATGGGCCTGCTCTCTGCTAACGCTGCCTGCCCAACCACATGCTTCCCTGCCCAGGACTCACAGGCAGAGTTCAGTGGGGCTGCAGAGTACACAGCTCCAGAGGCAAGTCCACCAGAGGGTAAGCTTCGGGGAGCAGTTACACTCCGTAGTCAGGTCTGCGTAAAACAGACTGTCCTGGCCACTCCTGAGAGACCATGGCAAAAGGACTCTTTGTCCAGCCCCTCCGAGTGCAAGGGACCTGTTTCCCTTAGTTTCTCATCACTCACCTAGACAGGAACCAAACAGGACAGGAACCAAACAGGACACCAGAAGAGACACAGGGAAGAAACAGCATGTGGACTATCAAGAAAAGTGTCACCCCTTGGTGAACCCTACTTAGTCAGGGTGACTTCACTCTGCAGTGCAGCCCCCATGGCCCCCAGGGATGTCAGTGAGCCTGTGTACCAGCAGCCTGCATGGAGTGAGGGAGCCTTCCTAGATTCCTTTCTGCCCCACCAACATGCACCACAGACATCAAGCAACAGAGACTACTGCTGGTGAAACGGGTAAAATGACAAGTCATCTGGCTCACACACAAGTTAGTGGGATGAGTAAGGACATGTTACAACCATGCAGATGCTTTAGCAAACTAATTGGACTAGAAGACACTTCCAGCACTGACATGAAGTTGTTCAAAGAAAGTCAGATATGTCTACTCCTATACAGAGAGATCAACACAAACGCAGCCCTCGTGGGAGAGCACTTAACCCACGCCACCTTCTGCGCTGTCCCCGACTTTGGCCTTGGATCCCATGTTGTCATCAGGATCCAAATTCAGCAGCTCAAGAAGGAAAACTAGCAGCTGGGTAGTGAAGCTGGGAGCAACATTATTCCATGACAAATTTCCATCTGCACTTGGGCTATTAATGTTATTTTCCAAAGATTTATTTTAGTTCTACTTGGGTACATGAAGATTCACTGCTGTGGATCAGACAGCTGCCCCCTTTAGACTAGTAACTAAAACAATTCACTTCACTAACACATGCTGGACTGGCTTTATGTGCAAAGCCTTCTGGGGTGCGTGATGACTGATAACGTGGGCTGTCTTACTGTGCATTAAATTCAAATCCAAATAAATACAATATTTTAAGGGAACCAGGGTCGTTCTTTACACAGAAAGGTCTTAGATGTATGTTGTAACTCATCAGAATGAAAATCTTTATGGTCCATTGTGAGACCAAGATCATACCAGACACTGAGCACCAACGTTAGTTGCCAAAGCCACTGTTACATCCTTTGGGCTTTTGGCATTTTGGAATAAAATCCATTTTTCTGTTAAATGCTCAGTTGCCCTCTCTGCAGAGGAGCTTCTTCAGACCCTGGGGGGAAGGGGGGGTAAAGCAGTCTTTGCCATGGAAGAGCGATGCTCCCAGCTGCCTAGACAGCTTGGTCTCTCCCATGAGTGCGGGTTGAGGGCAGCTGTCTAGCTACATCTCCTAAATACTGCTGAGAGCACCTCCAGGGAGAATCCAGCTGCTCAAGGTTAACCATCGCACTAAATGCTCAGAGAATGGGACAAAGGCCTTTTTTTCCCCCCTCAGCTCTTCTAGAAAAAAAGCATTTTGGAAAGGAGGTGCAAGCCTGGGAATGCCTCTTAATGTGGGCATCCTGTGGCCGTCTAGATCATTCTGAGGGCTTTTTCAGCTGTATTGGTCTTCAGGCCCCTCTGTGCTTGCATGTTAGCACAAAAGGACTGGCACAGCACCCCTGGGGGAGCCGCAATCTGCTCTGTGAGCAGTGGGGCTACGTAAACCTGCCCAGTCTTCCTGCCTGGCTCCTGCAATTGCACCTAGAAAACCCAGTGTTATTTGATCACTAGCAAGATCTCTTCACCCATCAAAATTCAACAAGCATCCCTCAAGTTACAGTGTTAAAGTCTCCTCACTACTCCCTTTCCTGAACAGTCCTCCTCCTGACAGGCTCCAGCTTGCCATGCAGTCCACACGACCCTATGCCACCTCCATGGTATCCATCCCAGCCAAAGGGTCTCCAAGACACAGCAGCTCCACTCCGCACACTCTGCAGCTCTGCCTGCAGCAGTTCATTAGCACTCTGCAGAGAAGCCTTGTCATTGTCCGAACAGAGGTCAACAACAGAATTACTGATGTATATCAATGCTCTGCAAAACTCCCAACAGCACCTCTCACGTTCTCCTCCTCGGCTCCTCCTTGCAGCAGTCACAAGGTTCAGCACACCACTGGGCATCACTCACTCTCGAGGCAACATCCATTGCACCAGCACAGGTACCATGCCACGCAAACCAGCCTCCCTGTGCACCAAACACACAGGGCCAAGCACTGAAGGGGCTGTGCGATAACAACTGAACTTCCGAAACACCTGAGGCCACGAAGGGCTGCCCAACAAGTATCCAAAACTGCAGTGGGGCTGAGGTCCTCCTCACTCTCTGGAGAAGAGAGCTGAACACTAACTGCCAGCAATCCTTACAGCTGGCACAGCCAAAAACCCACATTGACAGAAGCCCATCATTGCTATCCTATCTCCTCTTTATCACGAGATAAATGCAGATGGGCTCCCACTGTACAATCCTGCCTAGACCTTCAGTGTCCACAGGAGGTGAGGGGACATGCTGGCTGCTCAACACAAGGATGACATGACTCTGTCCTCTATCCTAACTAATCAGCATCACCGAGGTATACAACTCCTACTCCTGCATTTGTAAGCCATGTGAACAAGCTGTTTTCTAACAAAGACTCGCCTCTGTCTAAAAAATTCTGAGATATCTCTTTCTTTTTAAAGATACACTGTCTATTTATTTACAGCATCTTTAGTTTTGATTCTTATTTCTCTTCATTATTGATGAAAAAAGCCACCACCCTTAAGTTGCTAAAAAAAAAAATCTTCCTGGCAATTTCCCAGTTAAGAAAACCTGATGTTTTTCTCCCACTTTGTTTTGAACAGCACTGACACGATCATGGCAGTTTTTAACCAATGACACAAATGCTGTGTTATCCTTCTTAGTAGGCTGCCAAAATACATGAGCCTTGGCACATTTAAAAAAAACAGAACAGTTCTGATTAAAACAGTGGCTAAGTGATGTGCCTTGTGACGCCAGCAGAGGGAAACCAGGACCCTTCTGTAATACCTGGAAAAGGGATCAGTCTCCATCCCCTTTTCTTTTCTTTCTGCTCTTTAAAAAAAGACTAAAGAAATAGAATTCTGGTCACTAGAGATGTTAATTTTGCCCAGGTCTTAGATTTCTTAGGTGTATTTGTAGATGCAGCAACAGGACATAAAAGTATTCAGCTATCCTCAAACAAATTCCAAATATTTGGGAAAGGGCTGGCGAAATTGCACCTTTAATTTTTTTTTTTTATATATATTAAATATTTTTCTGCCTGAGACACAGATCCTGTATATTGTATTTGGAAGCTTAAAAGAAACTTGACAGTGTTCCTTTAAGAAGATAGAGATCAGCTATCTTGAGCACTGCAGCACCATTAACCTCCACATTTCCAGCAGGAGATCAGCTATCTTGAGCACTGCAGCAGCACCATTAACCTCCACATTTCCAGCACAGCCACTGCTAGTGTCCCTATGAACAGTAACACAGACAGGGACAACCACGTTCAACGTCATCAAGCGTCACTAATGACACCCGAAGGGCCCATGCAACACCAGGCAAGGTTATGGCTATGGGAGAAAACGGGCCCTACCTCTGTATAACAGCTGCAGAATCATTCTCTCGTTTCCGTCTCTTCCTCTCTGCGTAGCCCCTGAATGCCCTGGGAAACCATTTTAAGCCATTAACCACCTACACAGCTTTGAACTGGAGAGGACATGAAACACAGACAGGAAAGCTCTCACCAGACAACAGAGAGAGATTAGGCTGACCGAGGAAGACAGCCAGCCCTTGCAGGACTGCGTGCGAGTCAGGGGCCAGGCAAAAGACTCACCAAACCAAAGGTCCTCACTCTAGGGTGGGTGGCTGGACAAGCAGTTGTTCCTAAAGCAAACATAAGAGTGGCCAGAGCACGGCCCAAAGAATGGGAGCAAGCAGCCATCATCCCTGCTACGGAGGAATGGACCTAGGAGACTGCAGACACAAAACCTCTGTACACCAGGATCAAGAGGGACAAAAGCATGCTAGCAACTGTAGTCTCCATTTCGAAGATGAGGTTGGTTGCGGTGTGATCCACATAGGCCTACCAGGTGCAGCCATCTAACCTCTTGCCAGCTGACAAACAGCCCTAGCATAGGGAAAGCACAAGTGAATATGGGAGGAGAGGGAAGGGGAGGAGAGGAGAGGAGAGAGGTTTCTCCAGGACACCAACAGACAAGGAAAAAGAAAAAATTAAGGTTATACTTACGAGATGCTAGAGATTCCAGGAGACGCAGGGAAAAAGAAAGAAAAGAGGAATTCATTAGTGCTCAGCCCTGGCCAGCATTCTGAGGGAATTCTCACTCCAGAAGGAATATTTCTTGTTAGGTGGAAAGAAATTGCTTTTTAAATTAAACATTTCTCAGTGGTGAGACTCCTACTTGACCGAGCTAAATCCTCCCTGGGGCAGCATTGGCATGTGGCTTGGATGCAAATTAAGTTTGTGTAGACCCAGAGAACATGCAGATGTACAACTGACAGCTGAACGTGGCCCGTCAGGCTACGACGGGAGCTCAGCATCATGGGCTTCTGGAGCATGGAGACCTTCTCCCACAGTGACAAAGATTTGTGAAGTCAGCCCACACTGTCTGTCTATGAAGGAAGCAAGCACGGTGGGCTGAAAACACTAGAGCAGAGGACAGGGGCACCTGGGGGAGCCATTCCAACCAGCTTAGGGAAGTGCCCTGAACTTCTGGAGATGTTTCTGTGTCATTTCTAGAGGCAGCACAGAATCTCCAGAAATGTTAACCAGGGAGCTACGTTAACCAAGGGAGCTGTGCTCCTCAAGGGTTTCCTTAGGGCACCATTCCCCAAAACAACCTCACTTTGGTCTCCGACAGCTCCAAGCCTTGTAAGCCCTGCCATGGGCCACCATCCTGTAACAAACCTTGTGCACAGCAAAGATGACTTCAGATAGCAAAGGATGTGCCCAAAAGCAAAGGAAATGTGCCGATTTTGTGCATGGTTTGGTGTGTCAGATCAGAACTGTAAAATACCGTTCACTGTTATCAGCCAACATTTCTAAAGAGCAAAGCACTGTCAAATTGCTCTCAGACTGCCCACAGGCCCTGTCAGCCTGGTGCCCAGGAGTGTTAACCAGCTGGGGTGCCACTGGACTTACAAACCCTGAAGAGGAGGTAGAGGGACATAGAGGTCAGGTAAGAGAAGCAGCGCTAGGACAATAGAGAGAGCAGAAGCCCACGGAGACTCCTCACTCCCACTGTCAGGGTGGGATTAGCATCCCACCACCATGCATCAGATTCCACAGACTGGCACCAGGGAAATGCCTCCCCCGTGCTGTTCCCCATGCTGGGAGGGTGGGTCACACCTCCAGCTGAGCTGGAGGAAAAGGGCATGAAGATAAGTGTTTTTTCTGGGGGATACAGATCCATTCCAGTATCTCAGCAGCCACCTCTCTCCCCAGTGCTGGATCCAGCCCTCCCTGCATCAGTCCTTACAGGTCTGATCCAGTCTGGGTTATCCCAACACCAACAATCAGCCTCTTTTCAGGATTTGGGAAGGGAAAGGTACGAAGGAAAGAAGAAATGGCAGAAAAATAGATTACAAAAAGGACACCAGATTAGACAAGGAGAAATAAAGAAAGCAGTAGAGCTGAAGGTGACAGAGACACTGGAAGAAGGACACAGGAAAAAGGTGACAAGGCTGGAGAAGGGCCTTAGAAGGCAGAACAGTATCTCATTTCCCTCATTGCTTGCCTTGGCTTTGCAGCCAGGTAGGAAATACTTGAAACCAGGAAGACGGTGTTTCCTGACAAGCTAGGTACAACCTGGAAATGAGGCTTCCCTTATTCTCTTCAGTCCTTTGAGAACCACCTCCTCCCAACGCACAGCAACCAGGGGCACCAAAACCTGCGTGGAGTGTGGAGGGAGAGGCTGTTCCTAACTCGGATCCGTTCACACTTCGCAGAGATTTTACTGACACCTTCTTCAAATGACCAGACCAGCACAGAAGCTGTAGGGCTATACCTCATCCTATAGAGACGTACTCCTCTGGAGTGACAGACGCAGGGCAAGCCTGGAATAACATTCCCTCAGGGCAGTGGCTGCAGCAGAAGCAAGTGGTGGAGGGTCTCAGCTGGTGCTCCCACAGGACCCTCGCTCTGCAGAGGCAGCCAGGGACAGGGCACAGTGTCACAGAGAAAAATAAGGGAAGCAGAGAAGAGCTGGGTAGCCCAAGGAGTTAAAGAAGGTAAAATCAAACAAGTGGGAATAGTAGGAAAGAGAACTAGCAAGTGCAAAAAAGAAATTAATAAGAAACAAGGTTCTCTCTCTCTCTCACCCCTGGACTGCAGTGCCAAACATACAACTTGATTGCTCCAGGCTCTCAGATACAGCTTTGAGTGAGCCACGAACTTTAAGATACACAGTAAAAGCTACAGCAGTAGTTTCACTTACGCTTGCATAGTTGTAGTAGCAGTTTGAAAACTGAAGAGGTTCTCTTTTGGGAACCAGGTTCGTATGGGGACGTCATCTGGAAGAGAGAGAGCAAAACGTGAGAATCCAGCGGGCAGAGACATCGTTCACACAGCAAGACTTTCCAAGCTCTTTCTCTTAGTACTCTTCTTCAGCATCCTGCCCTGTACTAAACAGGAGAGTCTCATCCTCCTCATATATATGCACACTACCACCGAGCATTTTGTAAATTTGTGCTAAGCCTGTTTATCAGGCTACTAAATGAAGAATAAAAGCTCTATCCTAAGCACGGAAGATTAGAATAATCCAGGAATTACAGAAGAGACATTTAAACAAGAAAAAAAACAGGGGAAAGAAACATTTTTCATTAAAAGCATTTTCCAGCCTCTGCCTTCTCCTTAGTACCATTAGTTTGAAATGTCCGATTCATCCAGTTCTTTCTGATACAGCCTCCCGGGGAAGATGAAAAGCATTCACCTTCCTCTCTTCACAACTTTAAGCCTGAGATCGACTCTCTTTTTCCTACCATTGAAGTTTCAATAAACCTCTCACACACCTGCTCCTGATGACCTGGCCTTCATGAATTTTTCTGCTTTTAGAAGTCAAACTGCACATCAGCTATACAGTCTGCAGGTAACTCTGTGCTTATTTGTTCCCCTATGTTTGTAAACTGCCCTGCCTGAACCAACTGCGGATTATTTCCTAATTCTGTTGCATTAGGACACCGCATCATCTTCATGTAATGACCACTAAGACAAAAAGCAGGCAGCAAAATAAGTCACTAATTATGTGTGTGGGATGGTGGTGACCAGAAGGAGGAATCTGACCAAGAAGCAACTCCTGCTGAGAGCTCTCGGGCTGAAGTCGGTCAGGCAGGGAATCAGAGGTGTATTAAAATCCACTGACACAAGACGTGCGAGATCTCAGTGGATTGGATCCCTGGGATTTGGGGCTACCTGATTTTTCATCTTGCTTCACTCCCAATTTGTGGCTTTCTTGCTTAATGCCTTGCCACATGTTGCTGATCATGTGTCTTGCTTCACTCATTCAAGTTTTAAGATCACTAGCAACTACGGTATCTTAGTCATTAATATTCTGGCATTGTCAAGAGTAATTTTTTTATTCACTTTCATTGGTCAAAACCCAATCAAACCCTTCATGCCTACTGCAGACATAATTACTACAGACCAGATATCTTACCAAATGTTCTGTACAGATCATCATCTACTACAGACTGATCCTACTGTTCCCTGACAGTACAAAAAGTGGCTGCAATTGCAGATGCAAAAAATGCTAAATCCAACTGGGGAGGCTTCCTTCAAGGTGAAGCCTCTAAGAAATCATATAGAAAGCTGTAACAGACACTCCTTCTCAGCTAACAGTTTATGTCAAGCCTTGTATAAAGGCACCCTAAGGAAACAGATATGTTAAATGAAAACTGCATTCTAGTATGCTAAATACTCATTATGAAGTTCCTATGTCTGCTCTTCTCCAAAAAACACATAGACGAGAAATGCAAAACAGCTCAGACTGTAAATGAATTACTTGTTTGAAGTCTTGAACCCACAAAAGTGGCGAAGGAGGAGAAGTTGTACAAATTCCTTTTTAGCCAACAATTCTGTACAGATTTCTCAGGGACTGTGCATCTCAAAGGACTGACAATCTCTTAATATATTTTACAGCTTTTAAGCCACTAGCTTTGATTCAAAGCAGAGCTTATGAACAACAGCTAATATCCTTACGAGGCTTTGCCTGGGCAGTTGCTGGAAGCCTCCCCTCCTTTTCTGGAAGACAGGAGTCAACGTAGGAAAGATATCACACCCCTACCCACAACACTCAATGGAGAATAAAGGATTTGTGACCCTTCAGAGGTGCCTCTTTACCAGCCAGAGGTAGAACAGAAGCAGAAACACACAGCTGGGGACTAGGGAGCACAGCTCAGCTCCAGAGCTCATCCAGCTAATTAAAATTCAGATTACGAGTATGGCTATTTTGCTTCCAGGAGCAGGCAGCATGCTCCTTTTTGACCAGGCAGAGCATCTTGTTCTCCTTTCTTGTTACCATCAACTGTGATGAAATAGCCAAGGAACCACGGGCCTGGGTAAGACTGGAGGAACACCACCACCACATTCAGCATCTCCAGCCGCTTGCCAGGCTGCATGCAAATCTCAGCACCTCTATCCATGAGTGGATGTGTTTATATCAGATGCTGGGAGCAGCACAGGAGATGACAGCTTGTGCTTCTCTGGAATGGTGTTAGGCATCATAAACTCAGCATAAAAATCCACATTAAATTCTGCCAATCTGGCCTAACTGCCATGAGTGTTGGTTTGCAGCAATAACGTGTCATGTAAATCCAAACAGAGAAAGCAGCACGGTAAAAGCAACCTCTGGCAAAATTAGTCTCTCTCTCTTACCTCCATTCATCTCTGCTCTGTTTTCTCTGCTAGCCATGCATGAAGGACATTCCAAGAAATACTTCTTGCAGCCTGCGACAGTTGTGCCATTCAATTCTCGGTTTTTCTCTGAGTAACAACGCTTAGATAGAGAGCGCGAACGAGACCAAGCTGAGAAAACTTTCATGCCATGATGCCAGTGCTATGACAGGATTTGGCCTCAGAGGCACAGCGCTGCCTGTGTGGCCACACGTGCAAGCACTCAGAAGCTTGAGACAAGCACCGAGGGTAGCTGCTGTCTGCTTGTACGAAACATGAAATACTTATGGAGGCATCTGCAGATTCAGCACTATCAACTCCGTTCCCATTTAAGTAACTACTCCAATTTCTTTTCAGAAGGGCAATTCTCCATTTCACATTGATAACTGGCCCTAACAAAAATTGCTGCCTAGTTGAAAATAGATATTATAAATGCCAAGGCCCAGAAACAGAACATGGCATCTCTCTATAGCATTTGCTAGGACTTGTTTTCTGGCACACAGAGGCATTTAGCTCCAGCTATGAGGAGTTAAACTCCTCCATTAGTGATTTGCAGCTTTCCTTTGGTTCTGTATCAAGTAACCTGCTTCAGTCCCACAGTGCAGAGTACAATTTTGATTTGTTCAGGAAAGCTTTCAACATAAATCCATCAGCATTAGAACAGGAAATCTTCACTTTCTTAATTCAGTACACATCATGAGGCTGCAGTTGATTTAACTCAGCAACCTGATCTCCACAAGACCAAGCCCCTGGGTTGTGATCTCCTTTCCTGAAAGGCTGGGACTGAAATGGCTTTCTTTTTCTATCTTCACACAAGCTTTCTGGCTCTGTCATCATATACAGAGCCATCTTTTAGCAGGTAAAACACGTCTGATCATAAAACCATAAAGGTTTCCATACAGGAAAGCTCTTCTCACTCCTTTTCTTGCATTTAAGCAATAAAAATAATAAAGTCTAAAGCACATATAGTGTCTGATGTGAAGCCCAAAAATCACAGGGAACAAACAGAGAAACAACGCTTAAAAACTATGCACAGGAATTAGTGGGACTGTAGGTGTTCTGCACACTTGATAATCAATTATTTTCTAATTATTATTCTTTAGTATTAGTCCATGTATTAATTTAGTCCCACTATTTCAAGCATCTAGGCACGAAAATATGGTCCAGAACCCAACCTTTCTGTGATTTTACCTGCAGTAAATATCACAGTGATATTTACTAGAAAACTATGAACCCAGGAAAGATGTACAGTTTGATCTCCACAGTCCTTATACTCAATTTATTTTCAAGGAGAAAACCTTGACCTTTCCTGGCTGGACACTCCGCTCTAAAAGCCTTGATGCTGTTTACAAAAAAAAAAAAATCAGACAAATTAGGTCAGACTCTTTGCCAGCCACATATAGAGCTGACAGGCAAAGATAGACTGCGCACTAGCTTATAATTCAAAGCACATAGATTGTGGCATATATTTGATTAAGTTTTTAAAGACAATCAGGATTTTTTCAGTATAATTGAATAATTACAAGCCCTATTCCCTGAAAATATTGAGCAAATGGATAGCGAGTGGGGAAGAAAGTCCAATATTGTGTTATTTGCTAGTATTTATGGAAAGACCGTGAGGTGGCACTGCATGAGGGACCCCACTAAACTGCTTCCAGCCACGCAGACAAGCATTTTGGAGACGCATCGAAGTACAGAACACTGTACCTGAGCTGAGCTGAGGCTCCCTCTGAGTACCCCAGCATGTTCACAAAGATTTCACCTGCCTTAGCCCCAGAATGAGGCAGAAGAGAGAGGGTCCTGCTCTGAACTGCCTCCTGGATGAGCATAAATGTAGGTGCTTTGACACAGCCCCTCCTCTCTTGCTCTTCCTTCAACAGAAAGGAAGCCCACAGACATGACCCTCACTAAGCTACATGAAGCTGTCATGAAAACCACCCAGGTCATCTGCTGCTTACAAGCTAGAAGCAGAGACAACGGAGCTTGGACGAGCTGGCCTCAAACTGAGCTCAGCTTATTTCAAACTCCTCCTTTGACAATCTGTTTCCATGGATGCTAGTACAAGGTACCAGAAAGGTGCCAAAGGGGAAATGCTACAGGGCCCAACTCAAGGCACATGGCAATGAAACCTCCACGCTGGGATGAGATGGGTGTCACCCTTCACCCTTGTGCCGATGAGTCCCTTTGTGTCCTTCCAGCACCCAGCAGTCACCCTTACTTACCAGACACTCGATCGACACTATACATCCTCTCCAGCCTTTTTCTGTGCCACCCAGTCTCACTGGATTGATGCTGCTCCAGGTCAAAGGAATGCTGGGAAGGGGCAGCCAGCCGTGTGCAGTTTGGGCACTCCTTGGAGCCCTGCCGGCTGCCTGGCCAGCCCTTGCAATGCCTGCTAATGCCGTGAGAGCCGCCAGCGCTGTGCACTTGGTGGCCGTGGTGGCATTCCTCTTGGGCAGCCCCCTTCATCACCACCAGTTCCATACTTTCATTCTCGTGGTCCGACAGCATCGGCCTCTCGCCAGAGATCGTATAGACTCGTGGCTTCGGTCCCTCGCTTGGCATCTTCTCTGCCTGCTCCTCGGAGAAGCTCCTCTCAAACTTGCCGTCTGAGATGACAGAGAGCCTGCGCTTGTTCTGTGCCGCCTGCTGCATCTCAGGGGAGTCCTCCTGTCCGATGTAGGAGTCTGCTAACAGGTGATCTGAAACAAATGGCACACTTTCCTTAAAACCAAAGCACCCCAGACACTGACAAATTCAGGAGGCTCTTTGTTACTGCTGCAGAAAGGGGAAGGGAGAGAGAGAGAGAGATGTGGTGGGTTCCCCCAGGAACCTTTTCAGATGAACGCATGCCCACAGCCTGGTAAACCTCCAGAGCTAGTACTGAAGTGAGAGACGTTTCTCACAGATATGCCCAATATTTTAAGCATGCAACTGGCCAGCAAACAAGGCTAGAAGCAAATGCAGCTCTTGGTGCACAGCCTGAAAATGCTTATGTGCAAAACAGCCCTTGTTCAGCTGCGCAGTCCTGTCTGCTTCAATGACTTTAGCAATGCAAGGGCTACTGAGCTGGTGAAAGTTTGCAGGACAAGGACCACCACCAACTTCTCTAAGAAGTGACAAACTCTGAGTGTTTTGTGCACCAAGTTATTGTTTTTTAGAATTAAAGGAAAGGGGCAAACCACCAGGGGTTGGGGTTTTTTCCCCCTGATTTTCTGCCAATTGGTTTGACATGAAAGAAATGCAAAAAGACTTCAGCCAACAGCTGCAACACAGCGTCCTGCTCTCTGCAGCACCCCTGGTTAGCAGGCCTCATCGTGTGTGCAGATGGCGACAGCACAGCCTGCGGAAGCTGTCCTGAAGGAAAATAGAGCCACTCCCTTTGTAGGGTAGGAAGATCGAAAGGAGAGAGGCCCATGAGTGCAACTATCTTTGGAGCCCACACACTGGATGAAGTGCCAGGAAATCTCAGCATTTCCATGGCAATTCCATGCATGAACCCAACAGTAGCTCCCACCCACCTGCTAATCCTTTTTTCAAGTGGCTGCTAATTACCTCTTACACTTCCCTTCAGATGGGAAGCAGCTCAGGGACTGTTAAAAAGACTCAGCAGGGAATGCATTATTCATGTGACTACTACCCCAGAAAAAATAAAATCATTAGTGTCCAGCACAGACAGCAGCATTTTAAACAGAGGCAGAAAACAAACCCAAGCCTTTACTTCACTAGATATTTAATGAACATCTTTCCTTTAGCTACTGAGCCATGACCTGGAAAAAATCGGCAACAATCTGAGGCTTGGCTACCTTGTAGCTGGCCATGAAGAGATGAAGGAGGAAGAGACCTATCCCAGGGCAAGTCTGATGTACGTGTGCAACACGGACCTTTCACTGCTGCCACATTCCGCTTCCTATGAAGTGCTCTTGTGCTCCTCTGAAAAGACCCCTCCCAAGCCGAGTTCGTACACTTTCAGCTTTTGACTCTGAAGCCCATCCTGGATTGTGCTCACGTTGGGAAAGGCCTCTCCCCCTGCTCTATTTGCAGCAGAGGCTGAACTGAATTTAGCTGGTACTGGTACAGTGTGTCACCCTTATCTCATTTTTCTGCTTGAGATACAACTTCCTCCAGCACCACTAGGAGATAAATACGTCTTTGGCCACTCTGCTCAAGAACAACTGTCAGGACCGTTCAGGCTGACACAACTCAGGTTCGTTTCACTTGTCTCCTAGTAAGAACTCACAGTCTCCGGATACTGTAGCTGGCAGCTGTGTGACTCCTTGAGCTGACCAGGAGAAGGAGCCTGTAGGACTCCTAAAGAAAGAACTATGCCTCTTGAATCTGTAGCTGATGCCGTCTTTCCAGACTTCACATGAAGTCCAAAACGCATGCCTAGGACTAGTGAGGGAGGAGTCATGCACCTCACTGATACTGTCCAGGTAAAACATGAAAGGCGGGCAGTGGTCTACTTCACCCATGGTCTCCTGCACAGAGACAGCACGGACATCTGCACCTCCCTCCAGGAAGAGGGCCTGATGGACTACGAGGGCCATCACCAGATGGGTCTACGAGGGCCATCACCAGAACAACTGCAAGCCATTCAAGTGGAAGAAGCTGCTCCACCAGCTGTCATTCAACAGCTTGTCCACCGAGTCCTACCAGCTGCAGGATACGGCGTCATGGACCAACCAGTGCAGAAAGTGTTCACAGGCTCCAAAGTCTCTCCAACGACTTATCACCCCTCAAGAGGCAGCAGGCCACCACATTTGTTCTACAGCGACTCAGACTCCCTCCAGTTCCAAGACTAACCGTGCTTTAGAGTGGGCATGTCTTGGGAAAACACCACCAAATGACTCTTCAAGATCTGCCAAGATCTGTGCTGGCTAATAGTGCCAAGCACACCATTTTTTAAATTAAAAACAAAGGCCAGTTCTAAGTATTTGTCTCAACTTGTCAAACTTACTAATCTGTGTGGGCACAATGACACTACATATTTCTTAAGACACTGCAAAATAGTGGCTGACAGCTGCCCCTGTTCCTCCTGAAATGAATACTTCTATGGAAGACATATAGCCTCATTAGAGCAAACACACAGGATTGTGCACCTTTACCCACGCACTGACAGCACCGCAGTTCAGAGATCCGAGAATTTCTGAACTCTGGTATCTGCGGGTAAATGGAAAAATGAAGTGCCCAAAGCATAGTATGTCTGAAAATGCTGATGATCACAAGTGCAGAGAGACCAATTCCAGCCTCTGTTTTATAAGCATTGAGGTCTGTTCAGCCCCATAAAATTTACAGACACATAAGTGGGACATTACTGGTTTCAAGTAAGAGCCAATTTTTTACTGAAATCATGGCAGGGTTACAATTCTTGACCGGATATATTTGACATAAACTACCTGTCTGATCTAGTGTGCAAAATGCGAGGATAATCCTTTTTTCCTACCTTACTTGTCCCTTACTGAAGATGTTTTCACTTGTACTTATCTAGGAGTTTTCATGGTCTACACTACAAAGGCCTGCCACCACACCAATATGCTTTCTCTTTGTCAAACAATTGGATAATTATTTCTTTTCATTCAATTTAGCACCTTCAGTAACTACACATGGGAGAAGCAACTTCATATGCCAAGGGAATGTGACACTTTATTCAAGACTTACAGTTAATAAAGACTTTATCTACAGAAAAAAATTAGTATGGAAGGAAAAGAGATTCAAAAATCCATCATAATGAATTATTGGCTTCTAAGAACAAACCTGCACCACTTCAGGGAGCAAGTCTGCGCTAGCGTTCACGCACACATGCGTTCACGTACACCAGCAGCCCAGAGACATTACCAGTGACTGGTTCCCTTGTCTGTGCTTGCAGTGAATTGGATTCAGGTGCCAAAGCACTGCACCTGCTTCCACTATGGCATTTTAGGTTAATAGTTTGCTTCTGCTAGGACAGAAGTCAAGCTGGTCCAGAAATCAATGCTGAATTAAATCTGAGCCACAGGGATGTTCAGTGAAGAGAACCAAGAAACAGTAACAGGGGACTTAGCAGTAACTGGAACTGCCTTCTAAGAGTCAGCTGAAGCAGACTGCTGTTAACACCCTCTGCCTCGCTACTGCTGCTCCGTTTCATTTCATTTTCACATTGCTCTTGCCACCTCTCCCACAACCAGCTGCTCCATCAAACTGCCACGTCAGCCCAGGACAGCGTGACTCGGGAAGCCTGGCACAGCACCCTCCTCTCCAGCCACTCTGATGAAGCTGACCTGGTAACAACTTCTGCTCTCCCACTTGCTTTCATCAGCAACACCTTTGTCTCACATAGCTGCAAAGCTACCTTGGAGCAGACAAATCAGGTTCCTCAAGCGGATTTCTTTTCACCTAGATTTCTGCTCTACATGGATTTATTGCGCCTGAGAAACTTAACAGCAGATGAAGGGAAGAGGACCAATGCACTTGATCGGTAGATCACGTGTCTACTGGTAACAGAAACATCCATATCATATTTTCATCACTTCCCTGTCTACCTGGGCTAAGTCTAACAGCCTGTCCAGAGCCTGAGGGCTCGACAGTCCAGTCCCAAGGGCCAATCCACTTCTCCCCCGACTTGTTATTTACGTGAACACGTCTCTCTGGCTTCACTTGCTCCTCTCTAATATTTCTTTCTTCACCTTCCACGCAGCACTGCCCAACACAGTCGTTAGTGCATGCGTATCACCAAAGACATGACCACTGACATGATAATCTGTACTGGTTAATTTGCGGTATCTCGGGAAAGAAAGAATCCACATTCTCGGCACATGTAGTTCCTGATAATTAGGCACTTATTACTATTAGATACTTATAAAATATCCGTTCTCATTCAGTAACTCTAACTTGAGCACTTGCTCTGACCCAGGTAACTAACCGTGAAAGGACTTTCACATTTTCTTTCGCTGTCACAACGTTTCTCGAGAGGAGGTAACACACTGGGATTAGCCTCAGCTGACTGATGCCCATACACAACAGTGGAGGGACTCACCGAGCCAAACTCGTATCTGATGCAGACTGCCTTGTAACCCCATGGGATGAGAAGTTTATAAATCAAGACAGAATATAGCCACAAGGCATAGACAGAAGCTTAAAAAAAAAAAGTCCCAAATTTATTACTGTATTTAGCAGCCAAATTGATGATTAAAGCACCTTAGATTTAAGACCTCAGTTCCAGCATCAGAAGCAAAGTGGCAAAGGGGAATTCAGATAAACCCTATTAAAAAAACACCTATCATCTCAGAAAAATAAATTTCAGAGAAAGTTCTCTCTTCCCTGCTCCACCTTAGCTGGACCTCTCTGGACCTGATGTTTATGGTACCAACTTTAAAGGAAAGAATTGTCTCAGCCACTGAAGATGAATGGAAAGACTTTAGGTTTACACTATATGGACTTACAGCATTGTTCGTAGTAGGAGGAATTAAGTTAATGCTTTTTTTTATTTTACACCAGTAGGAGTCCAGGTGATACCCTCAATGAGGAGGGCGGACGGGTGTACTGGCTAGAGCCCAGGGCACTGTAAAAACAGCAACATCTTTTCAAACAGCACAGCTGAGCAGTTTCTCTTGCAGTTTCTGTTCTGAGATGTCCCATTTGCCTGCCACTGACCTTCAGTTGTGCTAAGAGGCTGTCAGGTCCTGTTCTCCTCTGCTCCGTCTCCGAGCATGCATCAGAGCCA